TTCAAAAGAATAAATTTGACGTCAAGTGCGGAGAAAAAACAATACCTTGGGACTTATTAAAAGGGTGTATAGAGTGCAAAAAATTCGCAAATTCGATTCGACACGATATTCAGTAATAAGATTCAGTGACCACGAACAAAGCATTGAGACACGAAGTCTAGACTGTAAAGTGAGTATAAGAGAAATTATCTGTGCTCATTGTTCTTTGATTCCTCAGTTCAGTGCTTTTCTTCGTGGTCACTGAACCCTAATATGGAAACTCGTAAATAGGAAATCACATTTCCCATCATGCTTTGTGCAAAATAATTACTTGTCTCTGCCATTCGACGTAGTTTGCTTTAGGGAAACATTTAATTGTTAAACACTTGAGTTTGTCAAAGACCAGACAGGACATGCGCACTTTTGTCAATCCAATAGTGCACTTTAGSAAACGTCACTCTATGTTGTCAAGGTTAGAGGACCATCTGCAATATGGAAACGGAAGCCATTAAGCCTGTCAACAACTCGGTATAGATTGAAGATAGTCTAAGAGGTCTTCTAACGTTAATACTACTGTATGTTCAGAAATGACCTTGACTGATACCTTGTCTACTGCACTGCAGATATATGTAACAACGAGATCAAAATCTCTCAYAACCTTTTACTATACACCTATTTCAAAAAACGTTCTCGAGGAGAATGGYGAACGCCGATTGTCGAAGGGAGATTACTCTACCGAAAGGGAACTATGGTTACGCTGTTTTTTGACAAATACAATTTCACTTGTTGGATTCACATTGCAAAGAAACGCGAATTAAGTGGATTCTATGTTCACCACTATCTTACAGTATAAATCAGTAGTTATTTCCCTTCAATTAGCAAAACCCACGGCTCCTTTCGGTCGTGTAATCACCGCATTTCATCCGACAACCGATATAGGTATGGCCAAATTTATGCACAGCTCCKCTTTTGGGAAAACCGKGTGAGTTTCGACTTCCGTGTCAGGTGAAATTGTGGCATAAAAAGTAAGTATGCTAGAGTGTTGTTTTACTACAATATTAAGACATCATTTTATAAAAGAAAATTTAATACAAAATGAATTATTTATAGACATTTTAGCTTGAAATGTTCCTTAGATTTGAGATTTTCGCGTTTGCAATGTAATTCAGTGCATTTCTAATCGAATCAAAAGCTCGCTTTTGCTAACATGAGGTAAATCCTGCAATTGAAAATTATAGTAGGTTATGTAGGTAATGATGAAGTCAACAAATATCGCGCCGTCATCTTGAGATACGTGAGGCCTAACAATTAATGACCGCCATCAGTATATTTTGTTTCGTGCCTGCAGCCTATATAATTCTCGTACACTTGATTTTGTAAAATAGAGTTGAGTTTGCATATAAAATATAATATATATCTRTGGATGGACCAGCGAAGAAAGTTTATATATATTTAGTAATAAATTTTTGAAGGAACGTATTTTGAGTTTTTTTTGCTTAAAATGAATATTTTTTTCTCTTTCATKTTATTTCTAAATTATATTGAAGTTTATATACAATATAATATTTAACTATAGACTAAAATATAATATCTATGTGTAGATAGATTTAGTAACAATGAAAGGATTTTATGGCTTGATTTATTTATTTTTTATTATTTTTTATTTATTTTTTGACAATTTTGATAACGATTCGATAAAACTTCTAAGTTCATAATTTTATACAATTTTTGTACTTTCAAGAAAGATGCCACAAAATACAGCTTCAATCAACAATAATTATCATTTAAATGTGATTTGGTCACTGATGGTTGGCACTTTGTAATATATATTGTTTTGGGATCCCTGTGGTTTCTGTTCTGCRATGCGCATGATACTGTGTGCAAATAACCCAAACAAAATAAAATAAAATTTCAACATGACAAAAGGAAAAGAAATATTATG